ATAGATATCTCAAGGACATTTGTACCTTTCTTTTTTTAACTCCCTAGGCAACGCAAAAAACAAGAACTCGCCAAATTACAACTTAACTCACCCTTTGCTTCCTTTCAATTCCCTTGCATTTTGGGCAAGATTTCTCGGCGATTTCTTAGGAATGATACCAATAATATTTCTCATCATGAACAAAACAAGCTAAATCATGAATGTATGTATTACAGTGGCTTCTTAAAATATGAGCTGATAGATTAATGCTTACTCCGTACGCGCCATTAATTTAAGCATAGTTTGCTTTGTCTGGGCGATTCCGCGAAAGATCAGCCAAAGAGATGAAGAAAAAGTATTTCTGTCTTTAGTAAAGAGTTATTTTATTTTGTATAATTGTTTGAAAAAGCGATTCGCCAAACCTTTTCTTGACAGTTTTTGCACCCTTAAATTTTTCAATTTTGGAATTTTTTTGGCATTCCTAAAAAATTCAGTCTTAAATTTCAAGATCGAGGATCCAAGGAAAAATACAGTTAAAAGTTATAAGATCGTTTTGCAGGAACATGGCGTCATGATTGGCACATAAAATGTCTATTTTACGGACCTCTTTGAGGATACATGGGCAAGGGGGCCAGTTTATTGTAGTCTTAAATAAAAATAAATCATTCGGCATAAGAAGATTACATTGAAGCGACGTGAATAGACCATAGTTTTCTCGGTATTGGACTGGAACTGGCTTGCAACTGAGGCTAATGCGCGGAGTCTTTTCAAATGTAAATAGCATTTATCTCTTTTTGATGATATTCCCCCGCACGAGCCTCCATTGCAAGCTAGTTCCAGTCCACTACCGGCCGAGAATACAAATATGGTGTATTGAACGATGCTTCTTACTCTATAATGCGGGGAGTCTTTTCAAATGTAAATAAAATATATCTCTTTTCAATGATATTGTCCCGCATGAGCCTCCATTGCAAGTCACTACCGACCCGAGAATTCACATTTTACTAACGTAACTTGTTATAAAATCCTTCAATGTCGAGTTGTTCCTGTTGAATCAGTGAAANATGAACATTTTAAAAACTTAAATACTATTACTAAACATTTTTTGATACTTGTATACCATAAAAGCTTCATTGCTATTTTATGGACCTCTTTGAGGATACATGGGCAAGGGGGCCAATTTATTGTAGTCTTAAATAAAAATAAATCATTCGGCATAAGCAGATTACATTGAAGTGGCGTAAATAGACCATATTTTTCTCGGTATTGGACTGGAACTGGCTTGCAACTGAGGCTAATGCGCGGAGTCTTTTCAAATGTAAATACATTTATCTCTTTTTGAAGATATTCCCCCGCACGAGCCTCCATTACAAGCTAGTTCCAGTCCACTACCGGCCGATAATACAAATATGGTCTATTGAACGATGCTTCTTACTCTATAATCCGGGGAGTCTTTTCAAATGTAAATAAAATATATCTCTTTTCCATGAAATTGCCCCGCATGAGCCTCCATTGCAAGTCACTACCGACCTGAGAATTCACCTTTTACTTACGTAAATTGTTATAAAATCCTTCAATGTCGAGTTGTTCCTGTTGAATCAGTGAAAGATGTAGCTGGAAATGTATCAATTGCCGGATAATATGTCTAATGTTGATATATGTAAGTTTTCACACTGTTGTGAATATATTTAACATGCAGTGTAAATAAGACACGATTGATGGGTTCTCTGATAGTGAGACCTTTGATCTGAGTGATTCGGATATCAGACCTTTGATCAGATATTTGGTAAAAAGTATCCCTGTACGGCTGGTATTAAAACTACAAATTTGTATTCGGTTTGGAACAGAATTAGCTGAGAAATTAACAAGTATGTGTGATTTGCGCATACAATCCCTGCAATAGCGTTCCTATCTGGGAACTAAAAGCAGATTGGCATTGACCCATCTTAACAAGACTAATGCCTTAACAATTAATTCTATGCAGCAAGTTAGATGGGGGGGGTCACCCATTCGCGCTTGGATGGATTTTGCACAGTCAGTCAGTGCAGTGATTCGATTACTAACTGATTAGAATTTAGTCATTAACCAAAACACCTCCAGGGACTTCACCTCAGTATTCTAAGGCCTACCAGAGTAGGTTAGAGTAAGAATAAATGAACCAAGACAAAGAAACCTGAGAAAAACAAAAAATATATGAAAGAAAGCATAAAAATTATCAAGACTTGGATTATTGGATTTTTTGTGCCTATAGATAAATAATTACACAAACAATATATAAAATAAATAAAACTATATAAGTTTAATAACGAGTGAACAGCTCATACAAGGAAATCCCTCTTACTTAAATTAATGTTTTTCTAGCGTAGTAACTGCTGACAAGTGTACACCTCTTAACAAGAAATGTGAATTATACCCAAAATATAATGACCTGACGAGAAACTAATACACCCGGCCATGATCAGAAGCGGGATCATTCTAGCCGCCCAATTGAACGACTTTTTTTTAACCTTTCGACCATCCTCTAACCTGCGAACTTTGATCATCGCCTCGTGCATGATCATTCTTTCTTAAAGTTTGTACCTCAAACCGATGTGAATGTGATATTGCCTAAATTAAAATCTCAGTGAAAATTGGGCTCACTGAATTAATTAAGTTTAAGTTTAAGTTTAATAATACTTTGTCATGCTAGCACAAGTAAATAAATCACAGAAATTACAAAAAGTACATGACTGGAGAATAATTGGGGGAAACTAAATTCCCATACAAAGAATATTCTCCAATGTTAAACATTCTAAAAAAATTAAGTAGTGAAACTTAAAATTTAAGTGCGGCCCAAAACTAGCTTAATTGAATTGTATACTAAAATTGACACTAAAAATTAAGAAATAAGGTTTAAATACGGCGCAAAGCTAACCTAGTTAACCTAATTAGTACATAGCCAAATGTTGAAGATAAATAATAAAGAACGAAATCAACGACGATTTAGTAATCGGAACTTACATGTAGCGAGGGAAAAAGGGAGAACAACTCGAAAGATCAAGTCTCCGTTGCTCAGTCTCAGCCTCAAACCGTGCTGTGATTCGATCACTAACTAATTAGAATTTTGAAATGATACAAATCAACGGCATGGAGTTAAGCTAAGCGTTGGAGTCAACAGCTGCTACACTTTTATTTAAGACTGACTTTCATGATATTTTCTACCCATATGACTACCATAAAGACTAATTAGTTAAATAAAGCCTACTAAAGCAAGCATAAAGAAAAGTAGAACGATTGGTTTCTTGCCAGCTAGCCAGCCAGCCGGTCAGTCAGTCAGTCA